TTAGATGGCACCACGGCATAACACTCGCTGCACCTTCCCTCTCTCCCCGAGCCATGTCCTGACACCGGTCCAGCCTGGCCCCGGCTCTTCGTGCGGGGCAGAACGCTCTGGGCGCCGCAGCAGCGGCTCGCTGGACCCACCGAAGGGAGAGCCGCGCTCCCCCCTTCCCCGCAATAACAGTCCTTAGCGAGGCAGGATTTTTCCAGGATCAGCCTTTTCTTTATTTAAGGATTTTTTTGCATAGGCAAATGTTACATTTTTTTTTGGACACACGAATGTTAAAATGATCAATCCTATGTGTACGCACGCGCTCACACCCACAGCCCCTGCTGTCTTTCTCAGGGTATTTGTCCCCACGCGTATACGCAGTGGCCTGGCAGAAAATGTTTTCTGTGCTCTGAAAGAATGCTCTAAAAGGGTCAGATTGAAAAAGGTCCTTAAAGAGTGTCCGCTCTCTGTGTGTCTGTGTCTCTGCATTTTGGTTTCAGCAGCTTTGTGTCTGTGTAATGCAGTCTGCAGAATTGCACTTTTCTAGTTTTTTGTTCTGGCTCCTCTTACTTTACTCTCTCACCTATAAAAACATGATTTCTAATGAAAATAAGCAATAAATTGCTGCATACGCTCAGGTGTGAAGGATTTTCAAAAGCAAGACAGCTGGCAGCACGCTGCCGTCCTTCTGCATTGGACATTTTGAGATAGACAATATATTGATTAAACCAAAAACAGGGCAGTGCAATGGAATGAGGGTGTTTGCTGACCTTGTTCTGACGACAGAAAAGTCATTTCGGGGTGAGACTGTGCCTTGAGCTTCTACAGGGACCTGTTGTCTCGGGCATAGGATCAAGGGAGTTTTTTCTCCAGTAAGGATTGCAAGAAAGGTAGTAGTTGCCATTTAAAAACGAGGTACAATCCAAAAAAAAAAACTGCTAGGAAAATTTCAATTAAAAGAAGTGAACTCATAATGCATAGATTGGTTAAATGTGCACAATTGTAAATATAGACAATAATTTACAGGCTTTTCTCTTGAAATATTAGTGCTGCTACGAGGAGACAAGTGTGACTTACTTATAATGACTTACCATAACATTTCCATACTGTAAATGAGACAGATTAAGTTGACATTATATATTACTTAGCTGTGTACCAATTAGCTAAACAAATGCTATGAATTCCGTCATTTATGATGGAAGCTACATAAAAATTGTATAATTACCGCAGTGAGTCATCTAGTTAAATGGCACTCCTATATGGACGAATTGATTTCAATGCAAGATTAATAGCCTTTTGCTGCTGTTTTACGTGCTTGCCAAAGACCATACTACCTTGTTGCTAAGCATCATTAATGGATTAAAATAAGGGTTCTGCATAATTCCTACGGTGTATCTTCAAACAGCTTGTTTAGTTTGTGCACTAGCCTAGCGCTTGTTAGCCCTACGTAACACACGGGTCTGGAAGGCTGACACGTGCGAAGGAGGTTAATGCAATCCTAGGAACTCTTTCAAAAGCTCACAGGTTTTCTTGTGGATGACTTCACGGAGTTTCCGTACCCGCCGGATGCTGGAGGTCCCCACAAAGCTGTCTGGCTGTAGGACAGCCATGCCGTTGTGGACATCTCCCATGATGATGAGCTGGCCGTCCACTGTGGTCATGTTGGGACATGGGCAGCTCCAGTCCATGTTCAAAAGCGTGATTTCTAGTGGTTCCTTCCCTAGGAACTTTAATCCCATTTTTTCATCTTTGAGAATCTCCTCCACTGTCACCAGGGCATGTCCCGAGTCTTGGTCTTCGGTCAGCTCTGTTATCCGGCCCAGGATAACAAAGTCGCTTTTGCAGAAGCTTGTCACCAGCTTCTGGCGCGGTTTGCAGGCTTTGCAGTGCGTGTTCTTCGGGAAAGGGCACATCTCTTCACAGGCCTCCCGGCTCTCAAAGTTGTTCTCGTTGCCTCCACACCCGCCATAAATGAAGGACTGGCACTGCTTTGTCAAGCTGTTATAGGCCCATCTGGGCTCATAGGCCTTGCAGTGACCTTGGAGGGCTGGCAGATTGCAAATGTTGATTGGGCCATTCATGCACGTTAACATACAGTTCTCGTAGGTCTCAAAGTGGTTGAGGTTGCTGTTACAGTTCCCATAGATGAAAGTAAAGCAGTTGTTTTTCTTTGCATCATAGTACCACCTGGTCTGCTCTTCCCCACAGTCTTCGCTGTCTGGTTGCTTCAGGCACTCATCGGTTGGAAAATGTGTTTTGTTTTGGGAAGCTTCTTTGGATGTGGGTTCTCCTTTGATGACTGACAAAGGGAAATCAACCCTGAGAAGGCCACCGCTGTTTTTGGCGGTGCAGGTGTAGATGCCTGTGTCTTGCAGCTGGGTGTTGTAGATGACCAGCTGGGCAATGTTGGTGACCACAACGTTCCCTCTGACGTGATTTGGCTTCATAATGACTTTGTCTTTCCCATCAACCTGCTTCTCCCATGTGATTTCTGGCTTGGGTCTCCCTGTAACGTCACAGAGGAAGCTGACGGTCTCTCCCACGTAGACTGACTGATGGACGGGGTTGTTCACTAGAGCAGGCGGCAAGATATCAATGACCGTTGTTTCAGAATAGGCAGTAGTAGGGCGAGCTGTTGTTTCTGGTGGGATAGGGCTGGTGTTTGGCCAGGTGAGATGGTACCTACAGGTGACTACATTCAGTGTAATGCCTTTGATGCAAGCTTCTGCATCCATGTAGCATTTGTTGTAGTAGGTGAGCCCGTCTGAGGCACAGGTGAAGCTCGGCTCCTTCTCACACCTGTCCTTGCACTTGCAAACGGGTTGCCCGTCCCAGATGTCGCACTCTGAGCCTTGCTGGATGCACATGAAACGGTCACAGGTTGCCTCTTTGGGCATTCCCACCGGCCCTTTTTTCCCCTTGACGTCCATGTACCGAGCCGCCACGCAGCTCTTCGTTCCACAGACATTAGGGCAGCACTTCTCAAAGGTCTCACACTCCTGCAGGGAAAGAAAATGACCCAATCATTACTGGGGACAGAGTAAAGTCCTTTTTAGAGACCAAGCAAGCAGAGTGCCCAGAAATTTTCAAGGTGATAGCTCAGGAGACCCGGCCTGCCACACATTTCTGTGGTCCAAAACTCGGTGTCCCCACTGGGAATGAATAGAAACATCCCTCCAGCATCTCCCGAGAGGTGTCTAAACACCCTGGAGTTTCTGAAGTGCTTCAGGAGAAGACTTTCGAGAAGGAAAATGTATTTCTGTTTCTTAAACACTAACCTCACCATAAATCTTTCCTAGAGTCACATGGACTTCTTGACTACCAAACCAACAACCCCCCTTCCGCGCTCTCCGAAATGCCTGAGGACAAGCCCCGAGAAACAAGAGCGGATGGAAAGTCTTATCATATGGCTGTAGGCAGTAATCCTTCTTATTTTCCACAGAAGTATGTAAAGTATTATTTGAATTCCCTGAGACTAACAGCCTACTCTCGGAGGTGAAACTGCCAAGGATTTATAATTGTTCACATTGTAGAGGAAATAATAGAATATCTCGAAAGTAAGGAAATACTTGCTCCGAAAATAATTTTTCTATGGTATTTAGAAAAACAAACCCCAAACAGCTCATTATTGCCTCTCTGTCCTATTTTAGTCCTATTTTCAAATGCAGCATCGCTCTTCTAGTGATTTATTACACCCGTCTCAGCTACAGTCAGCTCTAAATTGCAGTTAATTTTAGCAGAATTTTCATCTTCTGTGCAGAAAAGGTATTTGATATGTGTGATCACAGCTGCTGTGTTGTTATGGATTACTTTAAGGGACCGTGAACACTGCTACAGTGTACACAATGGGGCACACTTCCACCGTGTGATAAACCTCTACAACCCCCCCGAAATCCAACGGCTTTCTCCGTAAGTGAGAACAAAATGTTTTTTAAGTTACCAAACTAAACAGCTTCCCCCGAGTCCAGTATCCTTTCCTTATTGGGAAAAAGATGACCTAATAACATAACTCTTTCC